TTTAAATAAAATAATGTTATATTTTGTTGTAGTGGTTGGTACTGATGTATGCTGCAAAGTTGGGTCGAATGGGCTGTGTATCCCTAACGAGAAGCCATGCATGAGCAGAGATGTATGGCCATTTTTTGATTCATTTCATGCTATTGATCTCGTCAACCAAGCCGATGCGGGAATTGCTTATAAAGATACAAATTCCAATGCTGCGTACCCAATGGATATCAGTCACCTTGTCAAGTTATAAAGAAAAAGTATAAAACCTATAGACTTCAATAAATGTAAACTTGTTTGATTTTTATTCTATCATTAGTACACACTACTATATTTAAGTCATCTCATTTATCTATAATGTCATTTATAATAAAGTTACAACTTTTGTCACCATTAATATTGTATAGATATATTATATTATTAGATATCTTAAATAGATCTTTTATTTTTAATTTTTTTAATCAGTTTGTTATTTTTTTTAATATTATCATATGTATATTTAATACAAGATAAGTTAATTTTATACATAGTTTTTATTATATTGAACATGATATTTAAAGTTTGTTTTTCTTTAAAAAAGAAAAAATTGTCACCCTTGTCCACTACGACGTTGCTACTACCGATAAAGTCGTTGTGGTACGTCGCCATCAACGTCACCAGAACATTAATTTTGATCGACAATCACAATTTTGATCGTCTCAACCAAATGATCATTGTGTTGTCAACAAAGCCTTCATCAAAACTCCCATGCGCTCTCATTGTCTCTCAAAGTTGTGGATCTGCTCCTTATCTCACTGTGCGTAGCGACAGTCTTGTCTCCTGTCTAGCAGAAATTCAGAGCGCCTAGTTGTCTCTTTCTCCTCATTTAGGATATGTGCTTATGACATTGATTAAAAAATATTGAATTTTTAGGTTTTCTCTCATCTATGACTTTTTGGTTGCTATCTCTTCTGACCTCTCTCTTGTCATCGGTGCGTCTGACCCATCTATATGTAATTTTTCTCTAGTGATAAAGATGACTTTTATTAGTTTATTTATAGCCCTTCAACAATGACATATTTATCAATTGGATGTCAACAATGTGTTCCTTAACGACATTTGCAAGAGATTTATATGGAACAACCTATCAGATTTATTGCTCAAGAAGAGTCTTTTGGGTTTGTAAGTCGTCTTCTATGTTATCTTTGCAAATTTTTAACAATTTGGTATCATTCAATTAAAGAAACAAATATTTCACCAAGTCTTTAGGAAGAATGAGAATTAATTATATTTGTCACAAGTTTTATACATACAATTTAGATGCACCAACTTGAGGAGAATGTTGATATATTATATTATTAAATATTTTAAATAAATATCATACATTTATCTTTAGCACTAGTAAAAAAACTGCTTTTTAACTCGCGTTATATGCTTCGGTTTAGGTGCAACCGAAGTCTATTAAAATGCGGTGGCATTTTTGCAATTTAAGCCAACTTATACGCCTCGGTTCAAAATCAACCGAAGCATATAAGTCATATTACCTCGGTTAAAGTAATGACCGAAGCCTAAAAGCCCACCTGCCCCCTGACAGTCTCTGAAATTTTTTTTTTTTTTTTTTAGAACTATAGGCCTCGGTCAGGTGTAGAACCGAGACCTATACTCGTTTATGGCTTCGGGCGAGCAGAGGACCGAGACCTATTCATTTTCCAGATCTCATTTTTTAAGAACAGTGCCTCGCTCTCCCTGCCTCGCTCTCCCTGCCTCGCTCCCTCACTCTCCCTCCCTCTCACTCGTTCTCCCTCACTCTCCCTCCCTCTCACCCGTTCTGCCTCACTCTCCCTCCCTCTCCCTCCTCCCTTGCTCTCTCGCTCCGTCAATCTCTCACGCCCTCGCTCTCGCTCCATCAATCTCTCACGCCCTCGCTCTCGCTCCGCCACTCCCTCGCTCTCACTCCGCCACTCCCTCGCTCTCACTCCGCCACTCCCTCGCTCTCGCTCCGCCGCTCCCTCGCTCTCGCT